GGTTTCACATGGGTTTTGTTGCACTCCCCACAGGAATTCTGGAATGCCACAATCTACAGTCAGCACTCACTGACCCTAGTAGTCTACAGGAACTGCTCAATAAAGAAATCAAGAACGGTTTCATGATTGGGCCATTTACTACCCCACCTTTCACCTCCTGGAGAATGAACCCTCTAGGCATAGCTACAGGGAAGTTTAATAATAAAAAAAGACTCATCATTGATTTTACAGCACCTCACTCTACCACTGCATCTAGCTTAAATGCAGTTATACCATCCAAGGATTTATCTTTACAATATGCAAGAACAGACGATGCCATACATGCTATCACTAACTCCGGCAAGGCAGCTTGGTCATGTAAAATAGATATTACAAATGCATTCAAACTACTGCCAATTCATCAATCACTCTGGCACCTGCATGGCCTTAAGTGGGAAGACAAGTATTATTTCGCAACCATACTAACTTTTGGCTCCTAAAGTAGACCCAAGATTTTTGATATTTTCGCCAAAACTTTGACCTGACTCCTGCTTAACAAATGCAGATATCCAGTAATCATTTGCTATTTGGATGATTTTCTGTCTATTGAACCACACCACTTCACAACATGCAGCCTACATCACATGCTGTCACTATTTGAAGATTTAGGAGTTCCGGTAGCCCCGGACAAAACAGAAGATTACGTTCCTGGGGATAACATTTAATTCAGTTTCAATGCAAGCTAGCCTGCCTCAAGAAAAGGTAGATAGAATTTTATCAATATCTGCAACTCACAAGGGTCTTGCACCAGGAAAGAGCTACAATCACTTCTTGGGTCACTCAATTTCGTGATGAGGATAATTCCACAGGGGAGGTCATTCATTTCCAGAATTCTATCTTTCTTACACGGTCTCCCTGATGACAATTCCAGAACCAGCTGGAGCCGACTTAAAAATGTGGCATCTATTTCTATCCTCTTGGAATGACTGACAGGTCATTATTCGTTCCCCCCATCTCTGACTATTCCCCGGTAATTTGGACTGACTCATCAGGAGCCATAGGTTACACAGAGATTTTGGCAATGACTGGGTATACGACTCTTGGCCACCAGAAACTATCTCACTAGAAAATTTCAACACAACCTCAGCACTGTTTGAAATTTTCCTGACTGTACCTGCAGCACACATATGGGGTAAAGAGTGGAGAGGTAAATCAGTTACGTGCTTTTCAGACAACTTGGCAGCATATAACATTATTAATAAAGGCCGCTCTCAGTCCCTTACAATCATGAACTTAGTAAGAAAACTTACCTGGTTAGCAGCAAATCTGCAGTTCTGTCTAAATTGTATTCACGTTCCAGGATTTCAGAATAACGCAGCTGATGCACTCTCACATTCTAATTTGCAGGAATATTTCAGTGTCCATCCGACAGCAAACTTACAACCCAAAGAACCTCCACAGTTCACAGACCTAATAATGCTCTAAATACCCTGTTATGTCACAGTAGGTCGCTCGCACAGACTGGTTTATCACTCAATAATAAAAAAGCCTATACCAGAGCATATGATCTGTTAAAAAAATTTGTACATGATCACAATGTAATAAATGTTTTTTTTCCATAGAAACCATGGTTGCGTTCACAACTTTTTGCCACATATCTCTAAAATTAGCATTCAATACAGTCCAACTTTACTTAACAGGCATACAACACTACATGTTAACTATTTATCCAAAGCTCCATTCCTAGCCTCTTACCCAGTCAAAGGTGTTCTAAGAGGCGTTCAGAGACTAACAATTCATAATCCCATCAAAAGACTTCCAATAGATAGTAGCCTATTTAGGAACATCTCCGATTTACTAGACGAGACCCTTTTGAAAGTATCACTAATCTGATAAGCAAATTCGCAGCCTATATAGCTTTTTACGGTTTCCTGAGACGCCAGGAATTTTCTGTGGAGAAAACCTCTGACTTTAAGTCATGCCTTAAGAGGAAACACCTAACTAAAGTAAACGACCACTATATTCTGTCAATCTCTTATACCAAAACGAGCCACTCTGGCCCTTCAGTAGAGATTAAATATTATCCTACCTCTACCAAGTGGTGTCCAATTCACATATTGGATAACCTAGTCAAGGCACAGCTTACAACTGACCCCGAATCCCCACTATTAGCTATTCAAGGGAAACCCCTAACCACCAAACAGTTCATGATATACATACGCACATTGATAGTCAGATTGGGACTAGAGTTGAGCGCACACCTGGATGTTCGGGTCCGGCGAGTTCAGACAAACTTTGAAAAAAAGTCTGGGTTAGGGATCCAACTTGACCTCGAATTTGACCCTGAACCCCATTGAAGTCAATGAAGACCCAAACCTTTGGGCACAAAAATGCCTCTAAAAAAGTTCTGGAAAGGGCTAGAAGGCTGCAAAAGGAATTAAAATGGGGATAAGAGTGCCCTGCAAACAAATGTGGATAGGGAAATCACTTAAAATAACATAAAATACCTAAAAATTAAAAATACAGCTGAGCCATAAAATAGCACTAGATGGAATCTTTGATTTTAGCTTTTTGAAGAACAAAAATCAAAATCTAAAGCATGGCTGTCAGGAGGATCACCAGAATTATCCATATGAGAGATGGTTGGAGTGCAAGGTATTCTCTTTCATTGTTCAAACTGAGCTTAACTCCTGATGCATGGAGAAAAGGCCTTCACAAGCCTCTGCTATTGTGTACATAGTTTGTACTAAGTGACCCATACGTTGAGGATGCGGTGACCATGACGGTGTAGGTGGAAGTGGCGATGGAGGAGGAGGAGGTAGCCAACACTGTTTTTTATTTTATTTTTATTTTTTAAATTGGGGTTGCCCCCAAAATATTGGGACATATAAAACAAGAAAACTCTGTTCCGCAGAGTGACTGACCCATGTGTGCTGCAGCTGAAACTCTACTATCGCCTGCTGCTGCTCGCACAGTCTCACGAGGCGGTGAGCAGAAAGGCGAGCAGCAGCAGGGTGAGAATGCCAAAAGCGCAGCTAGCCAGGGGTATGTCCTTGCCAATTAAGTTTGTGGGGTTATGCTTTATGGTTGGCGTGAGTTAATAAGTTGGCAAGTCTCAACCTCCCCTGCTTCAAACGGTTAACTTTAGGTTGCCTGAGGTATCGTGCCCATTGAGCGTGGATAAGGTTGGCTGATGGCGGGTACTGGAATGGTATGATTTATGAGGCGGGGGAGGTGAGAGGAAGTGGTGATTAGGAACCATGGTATGGTTATTGGCAAGAACGGTTGGGTTACTGTTTAACACTGTGTGTTGTTATATATGTATATATGTTAATTTATACTTATTTATGTTTAACAATTTTGGTTACAGAAAGAAGATTTTGAATAAAGTAAGTTATGGATGTGTTATGCAGTATTTATTTATTTATTTATGTTATAATAATTGCTGTGGCCTATTTCATCCATACTAAGTTGTCTGTCGTTATTGGGAGGGTTTAATGGGGTTAATTTATGTATTTGGTAGCATCGGAAAATTCCCCACTATGTACATACATGTTTTTTTTTGTTTTGTTTTTTTTAAAATTGGTACATATAAAAGAAAACTCTGTTCCGCAGAGCGACTGACCTGTGCGTGCTGCAGCTGAAACTCCACTATCGCCTGCTGCTGCTCGCACAGTCTCATGAGGCGGTGAGCAGGAAGGTGAGCAGCAACAGGGTGAGAATGCCAAAAGCGCACACAGACGGCCCGCACTTTCTGCAGCAGCTCTGATATAGCTGGGTAGTTTTTCAGGAATTTCTGCACCACCAAATTTAGCACATGCACCAGGCAAGGGATGTGCATCAAACAGGCTAGGCCCAGAGCTGCTACGAGATTTTGTCCATTATCGCACACCACCAGGCCGGGCTTGAGGCTCAGTGGCAACCACCACTCATCGGTCTGTTGTTCCATGCCCGTCCACAGCTCCTGCGCGGTGTGGGGTTTTTCCCTTAAACATATGAGTTTTAAAACAGCCTGCTGTCGTTTCCCCCTGGCTGTGCTGAAGTTGGTGGTGAAGGCATTATGCTGACCGGATAAGGAGGTGGTAGAAGAGGAGGAGGAAGAAGTGGAGTAGGAGGAGGAGTCAACAGGAGGCAAAGCTGTGTACTCAAATAAAGATTGTCAAATCTCCTGGAACTATGTCCCATCTGGTTACTGGGGAAATGGGTCTGACCTATTCTAATCAAAGGGGATAACCATCGGTAACCCAGGTCCTGCTTCAGTTGGTGGCAAGCGGCGGGATCCCATGTCCCTGCCAACAGACTACAGTGCTCTAAAGCGACCTACACTGCAGGATTTGTGTGGCGCCAGAGGAATAACGCCTGGTGGGCGTAAAAAGGCCAAATTGACTGCTGCGCTAATGGAGGGTGACCAGACATGCAGTGAGGCAACGAACTCCAGCCAGGGGCTGGAGATGAGGAGGAAGTGCGCAAGGAGGTATAACGGCGCCTGGCATATTACCAAGAGCCACCATCAGAGGAGATTGTCAGCAGGACCTTTTTGGAGGTCCAAGTCTATGTCCTTACCAATAGACAGAGGGCGACCTCCATGAACCCAGATGAAGGAAGAAGGGAGCAGAGGGTGCCAGGAAGCACAACCACCCTGGCCCACAAACTACCATACAATGCCTTCAAAGACTTCAAGGAAGCAGAAGAAGGCATCAATGACTTTTTACAAGAGTTTGGGCGTCAGTGCCTACTCCAAGACGTGGACCCCAGTGACTGGGTCACCATCCTGGCCAGCAAACTAGTGGGGAAGGCAGTGGATATTTACCGGGCTGTATCAGAAGAGCAGATCAGATACTGTCCCTTTATTACACGAATCCTCCTGGCCAGGTATGCGGTCACCCCCGTGCAATACTGCCGAAAGTTTAGGGAGACCCGGAAAGGGGAGAAGGACTCCCATGTGAAGTGGGCATGCCACATTACAAATGCCACCCAGAACTGACTCAACTCCCATCAAGCCAAGTTCCCAGAGGTGATCACCCAGCTCGTCATGCTAGTGCACTTTTTCAATGGGCTCCCCAACGACAAGGCAACGACGCATTCGTATGTCATCCATATCAACTTTCGATGCCACTTTCTGCGCCTACCATGGTGACCAATCAGGGTTCGATTCCTGAGAGATAGCCTGAGAAACGGCTACCACATGCAAGGAAGGCAGAAGGCGCGCAAATGACCCACTCACGACGCGGGGAGGTAGTGACGAAAAATAACAATACAGGACTCTTTAGAGGCCCTGTAATTGTAATGAGTCCACTTGAAATCCTTTAACTCTGATCAATTGGAGGGCTAGTCTGGTGCAGAGCGACTAAAACTCCACTCGCTAAAGCTGCATCAGGGTCCTGGTATGTGGCCGCACAAACGCTGGTGCTCAACACCAGGGGGCGTGCAAACCTAAAAACAGTGTATAGAAGGCACTTTACAGTTTATAGCAGAAAAAATAAATCTAGTGAGAATGGCTTCTAAGGGCACACGAGTCAAACGCTTGTTGATTGGCTGCCTTGCAGCCTTTGAAAACGCGCCATTAAATCGCTGAACACCGAACTCCAACCCAAACATACAGTGACACCTATAGGGCTCCCAGTGCACAGACTGCCACCACAGTCACTTACTAGACATGTACAATTTGTTTCTTGCAATTCGGACATTCGGATGCTTACGAAGTTCCAAAGTGCCAAAGTTCTGAATTGCCTAAGTTCTAAATTGCCGAAGTTCAGTTGTTTGGAAGTGGCGAACCGAATGCCATTGGTCTTAATTGCCGAAGCAGACACACTTTTTTACTTACCCTGATTTCTAAACCGAAACCAAATTTTTTGCCCATGCACATCCCTACTCTAAACTAAATGCTCAAAAAAAGTTTTCAATTCATATTATTCACCAGAAAATGAGTTACTTCTTTATAAGAGGTATATAGCACATCAATCTACACCATAAAGGGAAAACAGGAAAAAATGTACAAAGCCTGACCCAATCTCAAATCAATTCTTACATATGTACGTGACCGCTAAAGCGCTTAATAAAATTGACCAAGGAGTTCCTTCCTTATTCATAAATGTTATGCAATGTCCATTTACTGAAATAAATAGAAAAAAAAGAAATATAAATAACAAAAAATGAAAATAGTGCAAAAATGAAAAAAAGACAAAGGTGTAACTGAATGCACGTGGTCCAGTGCATGGCAGCCATTTTGTCTCCCGAACACAGGCAGTGGTACGTGGTCGTCAAATGCCTGGAACTATTTTTGGCCATGCGAGTTCACAAACCCGGGCAGAATTTGTACCGCTTTTTATTCAACTTCCCAACCATCTAGACGAACAATGTTTGGAAGCATTCGCTCCATTACAGCCAGGGAGAGCGTCCATCAGTGTTCATACAGGAACCCCTGAAAGCCAACCAACCACCCTGCCCAATCCTCTGGAACCATTTTGGGATATCACCTCGTGGTTGGTTGGTCAGAACTTTATTCAAACAGAATTTTCGTTCAACCAAACCGAGCTGAGTGCTTTTTGGATATGTTGTACGCTCATTAGGGACTATTCAGGAATATGATTTTTGTGGAGGGATTCCTGTATTCTTTTTGTGTATTTTTGTGTATTTTTGGTGTATTTTAAAATGAATGTTTCTGTATTAGAGAGATAATTGATTTATCCTAATTTGAGCGCAATATCTTTCAAACACAAAGGCTTTTGGGAAAAAAAAACCTGTGTTCTTGATGTGAAAACCTCATGTTAGCAGTCAGTGCATAAAAGCCATGCTTCAATTGCACTCAGTTGTACTCCCAGATCTGTGTGTCGTCCAGTTACTGGGGAGGAGGTGGGCTATTTACTTGGCAGTATCTTGTTCCTGATTTCTACTTTTGGTGATCCAGCGGAGGAAAGTCTCAGCTCAGTGCTCAGCTGCCAATCTCTGCCAATGAACATGTTCTTGAATGTCCCTGCTTTGCTCTATCTAAAATATAAGGCACAGCACACCTTCTTAGTCGATGCAATCCTTTTATTTTGACAGTAACATGGGCTAAGACGCTCACTATTCATGCCTTTGTCAAGAGACTGAAATATTGCCTTTACCCATGTTATTGTGCTAATAAAAGGATCACATAGAAACATAGAATGTGACAGCAGATAAGAACCATTCGGCCCATCTAGTCTGCCCAATTTTCTAAATACTTTCATTACTCCCTAGTCTTATCTTCTAGTTAGGATAGCCTTATGCCTATCCCACGCATGCTTAAACTCCTTTACTGTGTTAACCTCTACCACTTCAGCTGGAAGGCTATTCCATGCATCCACTACCCTCTCAGTAAAGTAATACTTCCTGATATTATTTTTAAACCTTTGTCCCTCTAATTTAAGACTATGTCCTCTTGTTGTGGTAGTTTTTCTTCTTTTAAATATAGTCTCCTCCTTTACTGTGTTGATTCCCTTTATATATTTAAATGTTTCTATCATATCCCCCCTGTCTCGTCTTTCCTCCAAGCTATACATGTTAAGATCCTTTAACCTTTCCTGGTAAGTTTTATCCCGCAATCCATGAACCAGTTTAGTAGCCCTTCTCTGAACCCTCTCTAAGGTATCAATATCCTTCTGAAGATACGGTCTCCAGTACTGCGTACAATACTCCAAGTGAGGTCTCACCAGTGTTCTGTACAATAGCATGAGCACTTCCCTTTTTCTACTGCTAATACCTCTCCCTATACAACCAAGCATTCTGCTAGCATTTCCTGCTGCTCTATTACATTGTCTGCCTACCTTTAAGTCATCAGAAATAATCACCCCTAAATCCCTTTCCTCATATGTTGAGGTTAGGACTCTATCAAATATTCTGTACTCTGCCCTTGGGTTTTTACGTCCAAGATGCATTATCTTGCACTTATCCACATTAAATGTCAGTTGCCACAATTCTGACCATTTTTCTAGTTTACCTAAATCATTTGTCATTTGGCTTATCCCTCCTGGAACATCAACCCTGTTACATATCTTAGTATCATCAGCAAAAGACATACCTTACCATCAAGACCTTCTGCAATATCACTAATAAAAATATTAAAGAGAATGGGTCCAAGTACAGATCCCTGAGGTACCCCACTGGTGACAAGTCCAAGCTTCGAATATATTCCATTAACTACAACCCTCTGTTGCCTGTCACTCAGCCACTGCCTTACCCATTCAACAATATTGGAATCCAAACTTAAAGATTGCAGTTTATTGATAAGCCTTCTATGTGCAACAGTGTCAAAAGCCTTACTGAAATCTAGGTAAGCAATGTCTACTGCACCACCCTGATCTATAATTTTAGTTACCCAATCAAAAAAATCAATAAGATTAGTTTGGCATGATCTCCATGAAGTAAACCCATGTTGTCTCTGATCTTGAAATCCATGTGTTTTTAGATGTTCATCAATCCTATCCTTTAACATGGTTTCCATCACTTTCCCCACTACTGAAGTAAGGCTTACTAGCCTATGTTGTATAATCCTTCTCTCACCACCAATATTTTCCCCAACAGCCTATAGTTGCCCGACTCCTCCCTATTACCTTTCTTGTAAATGGGCACAACATTCGCTAACTTCCAATCTTCTGGGACTACTCCTGTTAACAATGATTGGTTAAATAAATCTGTTAATGGTTTTGCTAGTACACCACTAAGCTCTTTTAATAGCTCTGGGTGTATTCCATCAGGTCCCATTGACTTATTTGTCCTTACTTTTGGCAGTTGAAATAGAAACTCTTTGTCTGTAAACTCACGTGTAATAAATGACTAATGTATCCTTTTTCTCAACTGAGGTCCCTTTCCTTCATTTTCATCTGTAAATACAGAACAAAAATATTCATTGAGGCAGTCAGCTAGACCTTTATCCTCTTCTACATACCTTCCTTCTTTTGTTTTTAATCTAACTAATCTTTGTTTTACTTTTCTTTTCTCATTTATGTATCTAAAAAATGTTTTATCCCCCTTTTTTACTGACTGTGCTATTTTCTCTACTGTGTGTGATTTGGAAGCTCTTATAACTTGCTTAGCCTCTTTCTGCCTAATCTTATAGATCATTTTGTCTTCCTCACTTTGTTTTTTTTTATAATTCCTAAATGCTAACTTTTTGTTTTTAACTATTTTGGCCACATCTGCGGAGTACCACAGTGGTTTCTTGAATTTTTTGCTTTTACTGACAAGCCTAATGCAATTTTCTGTTGCCTTCAATAGTGCAACTTTTAAATAATCCAATTTCTCTTGGACTCCATTTAAATTGCTCCAGTCTGATAATGACTCCTTTACACATATTCTAATTTTAGAAAAGTCTGTTTTTCTAAAGTCTAAAACTTTTGTTTTTGTGTGGTGTGACTCAGTCACTGTTCTTATATTAAACCACACTGACTGATGATCACTGGATCCTAAACTTTCACCTACAGTAATATCTGATACCAAATCTCCATTTGTTAACACTAAATCTAGTATGGCCTCTTTACGAGTTGGCTCCTCAACAACTTGTTTTAGAGACAATCCCAGTAGGGAGTTTAGAATATGTGTGCTCCTGGCACAAGTAGCTAATTTTGTTTTCCAATTTACATCAGGAAGATTAAAGTCACCCATGATGATAACTTCCCCCTTCATTGTCATTTTAGCTATTTCCTCAACTAGTAGATTATCTAACTCTTCAATTTGTCCTGGGGGCCTATAAATCACACCTACACGAGTTACTGTGTGATTACCAAATTCTAACGTAGCCCAAACGGACTCTATGTTTGCCTCACTAACTTTTATTAGGCTAGATTTTATGCTATCCTTCACATACAAGGCCACCCCTCCCCCTTTCTTGCCTTCCCTATCTTTCCTATATAAAAAGTACCCTGGTATTGCTATGTCCCAGTCATTTTTCTCATTGTACCATGTCTCAGTAACAGCAACTAAATCTACACTATCAGTTGCCATTATTGCCACAAGTTCATGGATCTTATTCCCTAAACTGCAAGCATTTGTAGACATGACTCTAAGCTTATCATTTTTTAACACACTTGCTACAGGCACCTTCTGTCCTTGTTTTGGGGGACAATTGGATTGATGTTTTATCACCCTTTTGCCCCCCCCTCCTAGTTTCCTAGCAAAACCTCTGAACTGCTCACTGAGAACATTTGTTCCCTTTTGAGAAAGGGAACAAATCATCTTTTTTTGTACAGCTTATCTCCATTCCAAACAGAGCTACCATGAGAAAT